TATATGCACACTGAATCATGCAGAGTGCAGAAGTCTGCAATATGAGGATCCTGGGTCTTATAAAACAGTTTTACTAGGGTGACTGATGGCAAGGGAAGGAGTAGAGAAGTTATCTGAATTTCTCCCTAGCAAGTACTCTGGGTTCGTAATGGCTGAGCAGGGTTTTGGATGGTTATGTACCATCAAATCATTTTCAACTCTTATCAACCATTTTTCTTTGCTGATCTGTTCCTAACTTGTTCCTTCAGGTCTTCCAATGCTGCCCTCATCACTACTCCCACTGAATCTATCCACTAGCTGGTGGTTGTTGCGCTACCCTAGCAGTATATAGCTAGTGTAGGAATTAAGAACTGTCTCCTTTAAGAAACTACCTCATGGGAAAGGTAGGCAGAGACTGCCTTATGGGAAATGTAGTTCCATGACATGTGATCACATCTCTGTTTATGATTGGCCACTGGGGCATCTTGCCCACATACAAAGTTTATAGCAGGGCAGTTTAAATGCTTTTGTGAACCTGAGTAGTATTATCTGTCTCTCCGCTCAACACGGGAATGAAATCATCATCTTTTTACACTACGTGATGAGACAGATCATGGAAAGTCAGAAGTATCTTAACACTGAACTGTAAGTTTTGCTATTAAAAATGTCTGATAATAAACTTGATCTGAAAGAGATTCCTAAGCGTGGAGTTAACACGCCCCAGCAAGCCTACAACGCTTGAGGCAGAACAGTTTCTTCCATCTTTCCGCTGAAATAACAGCAATGTATTTTATCAAAGGTGACAACTACTGCCACCTGCTGGAAATGAAACTTCACTCTTATTAAAATAAACGAAGTATCTTTAAGTCAATACTCTGACATGATGGAGGCTGTCTATAAAAGATCATGTCATAATAAGCAAGAAAAAGCTGGATATTGGATAACTAATGAACATAATAATTTCTGTGGGAAATCTTATCCATATGCCCATTCCTTAAGTTAGCAAAGATACGAAATCATTCCAGAAAAATTCAGATTTTAAACTAGCAATTTCAGACTTCATAATTATATTTCTCCCTATTAAAAAGATTTATAAATTTACCTAAGAACAAGGCAAAACATGAACAGTTGATAATATATTCCTGAATCTCAGCATGGGTAATAGTTATTTCTTCATATTCATAAGCTTGGGACTTCAGAAAGGCAAGAAAGAAAGAAGCTAAAAGGTTATTTTATGGATCAAATACCTCTTCTGAAAGAGGCTTTCAAGACTTGAGTACTAAATAAGGCTATTTATTTAGTCCTGAATAAAAAGGTTAGGCTTCATCTTGTATTTAATTATATGTGTAGCATTTCAAGAAATGTGTTATACGTAAGTGGCTTTTCATACACTGACTCACTCAGACAGCAAAACTCTGCACTATCAGGGTCCTGCTCACATCATTTTTTCCCCTCCCCTAGGAAAGAAGATGATTTTATTAGGGTGACTGTTGGCAAGGAAGGAAGGAAGGAAGGAAGGAAGGAAGGAAGGAAGGAAGGAAGGAAGGAAGGAAGGAAGGAAGGAAGGAAGGAAGGAAGGAAGGAACAAACGAACGAACGAACAAATGAAGGAAATTATCTGAATTTCTCACATAGCAAGTAATCAAGGTTCATAATGCTTGGCAAGGCTTTTGATGATTATGTGACATCAAGTCACTGTCAACTCTTAGCAACCACATAGGTATATTTTCTTAACCCAATATAATTATGCACCAAAGATAAAACAAGCATAAGTGGCAATGTCAATAACAAAATTGTCAAAATGATAAGGTGAAGAAAACAATGTATAACATGTCCTTGAACTGTACAAGGGCCAGAGGAATAGAGACAGGTAGATGTTGTTGCATGATATTTCCCATAACCACTTCCTACTTCCCATTGTCCATGCCACTTAGGGCTATATGGTATTAAAATTCAGTAACATCCCTATCTGATCCTTCAAAAAAAAAAGTTGCCTATTTCCCAAGTCTGGAAATTGCCATCCACCAATCTTACCAGAGTTCAGTTTTAGTCTCTTGACCAAGTCTTGCAGGATGTCAGAAAGGTATTTATTTGAAGATATGCAATGATTCTCAATTAATTTCAGAGTATTTTCTACTGTCAAGGAACATCTTAGACCTTGGATAAACAAATTGGTCTTATTTCTTGATCAGGTTTGATCAAGATGATCTGGATGAGAGAAATAATCAATTTACTTCATCAAAGCGATTTCATAAATATATTTCCTTCAAATAAATACATTTAGGGACAACCTATAAAAAACTTCATTTCTTCTGTTCGGCTTTATTGGCCAATATCCCTCTTTCACTTAGTTTAAATTTATTGTCCCAAGTCCTGATCTAAATCTGTCTAAACTTCTGTAGTTTCAGATCTAACTGAGAAACAGAGTTGAATACCATCAAAATCCTTGTTATGATCCCACTCAACTCAAGCTTGGAATGACTACTTCAATTTGACACCAACACCATCTCTTCTCACTTTCCATCTCAATTGATTCTGGGATTACAGGGCATAATTGCAGTCTGCACTTTCTATAAAGGTCTCAAATTAATTCTTTCTTTTATTTCAGGAGCTTTGCTGACATTAATCCTGTGCCATAAAATAAGGAATAAAATACCAGATAATCCACCACATTGTGTGGTTTATTCAAGAAGTAAATTTCAATAGGAGGAAACTCAAGGCCAGTAAACAAACAGATCATGTGCTAAATATAACTTAAAATAGCAATAGCAATAGCAATAGCAGTAGACTTATATACCGCTTCATAGGCCTTTCAGGCCTCTCTAAGCGGTTTACAGAGAGTCAGCATA